TTTAGCAAGTTGTAAGCAACTTAGCAAGGCCTGTCTCAAAATGAAAAATAAAAGGGATGGGGATGTGGCTCACTGGTAAAGCACTCCTGGTTTCAATCAATTCCCAGTACTCAAAAAAAAAAAAAAAGAAAAGAAAGCCAAAACCACTCTTAGGGACATCTCTATACATGGTCATTGAAGCTAATGAGGTCATAAAAAAATTACAAACTGTTTGCAAAAATAAACTATCATGATACAGAATATTGGAATCAGCAAGCCAAGAATAAATTGAGGATAGAAATGAGAAGGTCCAACATACTGCAGTGAGAATTAGAGAGGGGCGTGGGGAAAGCACAGTACCTTCTACTCTTCCTAAGTAGTAGGTAAGAAGAATCACTTGCAGCCTGCTATAGTTCTGTTCAGGAATGTCTCCCAAAGGTCCATGTACTGATAGCTTATTCCACAACTTGTGGAACTCTTGGGAGGTGGCAGAACCTTTAAGAGGTGGGCCTCAGTGGGAGGTCATTGGTCATTGGGGGTGTGCCCTTGAAAGGGATTGTGGGATCCCAGCTTCTTGTTCTCTATCTTGGCTTCCTGGCTACCAGAAGATAAGTAGCTTGCTCTACCATGTGCTCCCACCAATACTGTGCTGTCTCACCTCAGGATCCAAAGCAATGGGGCCAAGTAATCATGAAATGTCAACTCCAAAACTGTGAGCCAACATAACCCTTTTCTCTTTATAAGTTGATTATCTCAAGTATTTTGTTAAAAAACCCCAAAAACCAAAAAAAGAAAGCTGACTAACTTATAGCCCCAAGCAGAATATATTATTTCTAGAAGAAACAAACTATAAGACAATTACCTTTGCTTGAAATAGGTCAAAGGAAGGGACTGGGAACTTTATTTTACTACTTCAGTTGAATAATTGTGCCAGAACTCCATTCCCTATTCATATACAGATCAGGGTTTGGAAATTAGGGAAGAAAAAAAATAAAAAGGAAGAAAGACAAAAATGAGACAGTAAGATATGGTATGTCATCTCCTTAGAACAAAAGTAATAAAATTACAAAATTTCCTAAAAGGAATGCATCATTCCACTATGCTCAGCATATCTCAAGACTTGTTAATAAGCTACTATTTTATCAACATCTGTATTTACCAAATTAACTCAACAGCCAAAGAGAAATATTTAATTAGAGATGAAGATATATAAGGAAGCTTCTACAGAATTTCAAAAAATATGTGAGATTATAAGAGCACTAAAGTTAATGGCACCTGTTCATTATACTACCTCAATTTAAGTTTGAATGTGACAGTCTTCTTTTCCCATGATTCAAATTTCTTACTAGCACTAGTCATATGGACCAGTCATTTGGGATAATCTGCACACACAAGGATGAAATGTATTTTGAGCTTTATGCCATAATGGGAAGGATAGGTTAGGTATCAGCTCTGGGACTTGACCACCTAGACAAGTTACACCCTCTTTGGTCCCAGTCTTCTTCCATATTATGTGGGATCCCAATCCCAGGGTGTGTGAAGGTAGATGAAATGAAATAACTGAAGTACCATCCAGTATATGACAGAGCAATGCAATATGCATAATACTTTGTGGAGACCATGCTAGAACACAGAGTTAGAGGGACAAAGCTATTAGGTGTACCTGTGAGAAGCAAATTATCTGGAGAATAATTGATTGGGTATTTACATCAAATCACTTTGGACTGAGAGGCCTTATAAACAAACTGAGTCAAAAGTCTTAAAGTCAAAGACTATAGGGGAAGAACCTAAAACATGGCTACCAAGAGGGGTCACAGGTCAGGTGGAAGAGCTTGGCCCACCAGGAGAGTGGAGGAGAACTGCAACAGTCTTTTCTAGATAAGAAGTATTTGCAACTGTAATGCTGCATATCCCACCAAGCCTTTAATATGCAAGAAAACCTCAACTGAAGCACAACTCACAGCATTTCATGCAAATGATTCAGTGATTCCCAAATATCTTTATAAAATCATAACTTTTTTCTTTTTTTGGTATGAAGGATCAAACCCAAGATGCTTTACCACTGAGCTATGTCCTCAGCCCTTTTAACTTTTATTTTTTTATTTTGAGACAGGGTCTCACTAAGTTGCTGAGGGTCTCAGGAAGTTATTGAGGCTGCCCTTGAACTTGTGATCCTCCTGCTTTAGCCTCCCAAGTCACTGGGATTACAGGTGTGTGCCGCTTTGCCGGGCTATAAAAAAAGTTATATATATATATATATATATATATATATATATATATATATATATATACACACACACACACACACACACACACACATATATATAATTTAAGGCTTTTTATGTATGATTGCTAGGTAGGTCTTTGGCTTCAATTCAATATTATTTTAGTTAAATTTTTCATATTTTTAGTTTTCTGTTTTTCTCTCTCAGGTTATTGTATCTCTTATTTTTGAAAAGAAGGGTTTGACAACTAATATTGAATAAAATCTACTGGTCAAAAAACAACAAGCATATTTTTACATATTAATAATTGGTTTATGTTACTTTTCTATTTCAGCTTTCATTGTATTATTATTCATATAGTTAAGCTTAAATGGAATGACTCACTCAAGGTGCAGCTACCATGCCTGTCTATACCTTGGAGTTCTAATTGAGGTGATCTTAGCCATGAGAATAGAATTGGGCCTCTGCTGGGAGCTGAGTCCAAATTAGGTATTAACCTAATTGAAATTCAATCCAAATTAGGTATTAGGTCCAAATATTTTTCTGAATAGCAGATCAGATTTTCCAAGGGGTCCATGATCTTAAAAAAATTAGGAAAAATTAATTTACTACCTCCTTATTTTTCTTGCTGTCTCCTACTCCAGCACAAATATTTCCTCATCTGTAACTAAACAATGATAAAAATACAAGTTTTAATGTACTTATTTCATTTCCTAATTTAGAAGATATCATGTTCATAAATGTATATGAAAATATCCTTCAAACTAGGAATACCCATACAGAAAGCATTATTTGCACCCATGCCTAACATAACCAGTTATATTTACTTCATAAATTTAACTACAGACAAACCTAAGGAAATGGCATTTTAATATTATAAAGTATCATTACCTAAGTCTGTAGATCCTTAAATCTTTGGGCTGTTACACCACTATTATTGTCATGACCATGTCCATATAAATCACTTTCTAACAATACAATTTCAGAAAAAGAAAAAAAGTTGTTTTTATCATGTTTGCTCAACTATAACCATGTCCATAGATATTTATCTATTTTTCTTACAGTACAACAAGGTCTCCTGCAGGACACAGTATTAAATCGTAAACATCTAAACAGGGTTTGTGTGTGTGTGTGTGCATTTGAAAATAAAAGTGGTTATAAATATTCTTCTAGCCATAATTAATAAAATGCTTCTTTAAAAGGGGAATGAGTATTATTACTCTCATTTTCTAAGTATTTTAATAGTTTAAAAATCAAATTATTTGTTAAAAATCAAAGACTACTTATTTTGTAGTCCTTGTTATAGTTCTGATAACTTTATTAAATGAATTACTCATTGCTGTTTTTTGGAAATTAAAGAGAGATGTTCTCATAGATGACATTGTTAAACAGGACACCTGCTCTACACATATAAGCCTAATGTAGGTGTAGCACTCAGCATTATCGATTTATGTGGAACACCCACCAAATAATTAACTTGTTTAGTGTCTGATTCAGCAAAACAAAACAAAATAAAAAGCATTGAAAGTAAAAAGAGCACAGGATTATGGAAAAGTAAAATACTTGAAAATGTGACAATTGTGTAACTTTAAGTTTACTGTAGCTAGCTCATTAGTCACTTTGGAAGCACACTGGCATGAAAGGAAGTTTCAATACCAGGAACTGAAACTGTAGTAAAATATCCTATCACCCCCCCCCAAAAAAAAAGCTAAAACAAAAACAAAACCCCAACTCCCCTCAAAACAACAACAAAAAACCAATAGTGCAGCTTATATATGTTTTTAAAATAATATTGTACAGTTTTTAAATTAGTTTTTGATATGTCCCCTGCTCATATAAGAGGAAAAAAAACAGTTGCACAGGAAGATCTACAGGCAAAATCTTTTTTAAAAAATATATATAATTCCATTGCTTTATAAACAGACTTACCTGCTTTAGGAATCACCCAGGAGTATAAGTACAAGAATACCACGTATATACATAGAACCGTGACTATAAAATTATCATTTGATGAGTGGTTATTTCACAGTTAAATTGATTGTACTAATATTTATAAACATCAGCATATTCAGTAGAAATTTCAATATTTGTGACCTCTTAATTCTGAAGTGAAGGAACATGCAAATAGATAAATACCGACAACTTAGTAGGGATAATGAACACAAACAGGGTGAGGTTCATCAAGTTAGAATCCTATTGAAGATCATATAAGCCACCTGTGCTTTTTAGGGAATCTTTGGTTTCTTTTTAACATGACCAAAGTAAACCATAGAGAACTTTGCATTTGGGGCAGACACTCGGCTTACTCAATGTTAATGACTGGGCTCCCCAGCAACAGAGGGCAAGATTTTTGACAAAATTAATTTATAGAGAACAAAATGACTCTTATTCTCTCACCTATACACCACACACACACACACACACACACACACACACACACGAAGTTACTTAAGTCTTATTTCAGATCACTTAGCAATCTTTCAGGCAAATTAAAAAAAAAAAGCCAACTGTCTAAAATTGTTGCAGAGCCATCACTAATGGGGCAGGGGAAGGAGATGGGTCTGGAGCAGAGATAAGTTGGGAGAAGAGACGGTTTAGGATTCTTGTGGTGGAAGGTGGTGGGAGTTGGAGATAGGAGGCAATGGTGTTGGAGGCGGGCGATCTTGGGAGAATGGCTGAACCAGGGATGAGGGAGCCTAGCAATGAAGGTGTTAGTTTAGGAGGCTGGAAGAAAAGGAAACACTAGGAATTTGGGGAACTGAAGGCTAAGTGGTGGATGGCGACCATTCACTTTACCTGCTGTACTTCTCCGGGACCCGGAGTGCAAACAGCCAAGGCATTTCCCTTCATTCCAGATGGGGTGAGACCAATGTCTTCTCCCCAGACAGCGGGCTTCGGCTCTGTCATCCTTCCTCAGCGACCGCTGCAACAACTCTGCTCCTGGGTAGGGAAGCAGCAACCCCGAGCCGCAGGCGCCCACATTCCCGACTGGGCTCCGGGCGCAGCTGGCCAGGGCGCGAAAAGAGGCGGGGGCCAGGGACCCCTGCCTCCAGGCTAACGCCGGGGCTACTGCGCCACTGCCGGTGTAGCCCCCAGCCCAGGTGAGACCCTGGCACTGACTGCAGGACGCACACCTGCACCCCTCTCGCCGGGTCGCTGAGCCCGGACACATTGGGTGCTCCTTGGGATTTAACGCGCCCCTCCGCCGCCTTGGGACACCCGCAGGTCCCAACACTGTACACCCCTCCAGACGTTCCCCAGAGCACCCCTCCCAAACCGCCTGTAACCTTCTCGTCCACAGCCCTCTCCACCCCTTGTCCCTCCAAGACCATCACCGCGCGCCCCTTCAGATACCGGAGGTGTAGCCCTCCAAATTCCCTTCCCGCGACTGGCCGCCCCCAGCCGGTCCAGGACTCCAAATGACCCTCCAAGTCCATTATAGTGTGCTCTTCCAGCACTTATAAGCCTTTCTACTGCCTGCGTGCAAGCCTCCTTTTCCACCAGACGCCCCTAGCTCCCAAGTCCCCAAACCGTATCCCTTGGAACTCCCGTTAGGATACACTCCCGCCCCAGCCCCACCCGGCTTCTCCACCCTCAGTGCTTCGCTCGCTGTCGAGGAAGTGTGCGGGTCGCTGGGCAGCGACACTTCTCAAAGATTGCAGCTCCCGCTACCAAGCTTAGGACGCCTTCTACCCATCTCTCTTTACAAGTCCCATTGAGGCTGCCTACATGCGTCGTGGGCTTGGAGCGAGGGTGCACAGTTACCGATCTTCCCACCTTGGGTCCTGGTCCCTTATGATCTGAAAAGTCAGCACCTCCCTATTCTATGGCGCTTTGGGAAGTCCCTAGAGGAGAGGGATGTTTCCATTTCTGAGGTGCTGAAGTCTTTCCACTCAGCCTGTTATTTGAGAACCCCTCGGGCACCAGAAGCAATGCAGTTTACTCTGATTATCAAGTTCCTAGGAAGCAAGGTCCTTGTCCTGCCGCCAGGAGGCACCCCTCGCGTTTTGCCGAGTTGGCTGTGGCAGAAATAAGGTCGCACGTTATTTAGTTCTTCGACTTGGACTCAGACTTCAGGAGTGCTGACCATAAGTTCTACGAAGCCGCTTTACTATGATTTTGTCAAGCTATGGAAAGATTCTCCCAACTCCGATTATATAACACAGTTCCCCAAGTAGAGCTTCTGTATTTGAGTCATTTATTTACTGGCTGACATACGCACGCATCATCACAGGAGAACGACTTGTTTTAGCAGCTTCATGTGAAAAGGGCATTTGAAGATGTTTGGCGAGTGTGCTAAGGAGGCAAATTATTTAAAAAATTCCAGGAAGGATCGTGCTAGTGGATTTTATAATTTTGCAAAATGGAAAAATGCTACCATTTTGGAGTTAAGTGGAAACATAAATTTGCTGGGGACTATTAGGAACGTTTTTCGTGTAACAGAATGGAATATTGAGAGGCAGAAATATTTACAACTTTTAGATTACACTTTTTTTAAGCAAATTTTTTCAAAGGTAAGAATAAAAATCGGGAAAGTCAATTTCCCAGAAAAGTCCTATGGAATTCCTAATTGCTTCTCCACCTAATAGATGATAGTGATGACCTTTTTTCAGAAACTTGCTCTTTACAAGATAAATAAAATAGATGTACAGATAAATTCTTAAGAATATATTACTACTTTTCTACATATTACATAGGAAGCATGATGACAGAAATTGTGCTTTATTACTCTAAAAACTTCCACACTAATCAATAAATGTTGTAGTTTATATATTTCTGTCAAGGAATTTAAAAGTTTTAATGTATGTCAACACTAACATGATCTCAGAGCCAGAGTTTTTTTCTTTTCTTTCTTCTTCTTTTTTTTTTTTTTTTTGGTTAGCTTAGAAAGAAATAACTGGCAACAGTTCCATGCAGCCAATGGTGAGAACTCTGGGGATCCGGAACACTAGCTATGATTCCTGTGATGGAAAAGCTAAAGATACTCAAATTGCTATGTGGTAAAAAAAAAAAATGGGTGCTATATACAAGGTGTGAAGTCTGCATACTGTTTTGATTGAGCACCTTACTGATAAAAATAATTCTAAGCAGAACATTTGGGTTTGTAAATTGCATGCATTGATGAATATGTTGAAATATATGTGCATAATATCAAGCTATTGTTTACAGTATAAAACAGGTACACACTTCAAAAGGAAAGATAAAAGCACATTTAAATAGGAAAAGCGTTGGCATGTTGATATGAAGATCTCTGCAGAGGCTTTCCCCAATGAAACAATCATACCTGGTGAAACCTATTAAAAAACAATCATTTAAAGTCTATGGAAATCATCCTAGGGGCACACAGCTAGCAGAGAAGTATTTATTCTTGAAAATCTACTAAATCTTGATAAGAACAGTGAGCTTGTAGCCTTTGAACTAGGACTCACTCTCTCCCTCACCCCCAAGATCAGTATGATGGAAGCTCTACTAGGAGCAAGGATGGCTAAGAAGATGGACTGTCTCTCCCGCAGTTACTAGGACAGATTTTTGGTTTCTCTAGGGGATGGAAGAGCTCCAGCAGTCTTACTCCCAGTCTACAACCTTTATACCAAGCAAGTGTGGAACAGAGATCTTAGCTCTATCCAGCCGTCACTACCACTGTATCAGGTTAGGAAGGGCTATCAGGTTAAGAATCAAGTCATCCTCTGCTTTAGCTCATGCAGGTGGAAAAGATCAAGGGTTTCTGTCCTGCTTGGAAAGCAAGAATGTCACTCTAAGAGAAACAGGTTGTTCTACTTTCCCAGTTTTGAAATAGTGGGGCAAAGATTCTGCCCACAGGGAGACACAGGCTGTCAAAATAGAGAACTTTATGGCTCTCTCTAGAAAGACTAATTTTATTTGGAGTAGAGAGCATGGAGAAGTTCATGCCCAAGGACATTGTCATAAACAATAGAGATCTGGGTGATAAGCAATTAATAGGAGGCTGGTTGTTCCACTAGTAAAAAGCTAAACAGTAGACAGCTAGAAATTTATGTGAGAGGATCAGGAAGAAGAGTCCTGCTGAACTTAGAGACAGCCTCAAGGAGTGGCCTGGGAAGACTATCCCTGAATAAAGGTTAGACTATAATTAGATCCAGCTATGGAAGAGTTTATGCCTCAGTAGTCAAGGATAATAAGCAATCAGCTTGCAATTAGTGGGTCCTGAGAACTGGGTATGATGCTAATAGAGGAGGCCAGTCAGAAATTTACCAGGAAAATTAGGGAAAGGAACAAGTCAAAGAGAACCCAGCAAAAACCATAGTTATCATAGGAAGGAGGGGTCAGGAGTATTGTATGCATGCCTGAGGATGTACCACATGAGGGGTGCATTTTACAGGCTGCTGGCAGAGGAGGAAATAGACCTTCTTGAGTCCAGCAGAGTCATTAAACAGAAAGGCAAGTAAACAAATAATTAAAAATAGGAAGGGGGTAGGAAGGATCAGACTCCAGGGTTGCTATATAATATAAACTGTTCACTTTGCAAGAAAAAATGATAAAATACGAAAACTAACAAATAAGCCTGCAAAACATAAAATTTAACCCAAACACAGGAGACAAAGCATGTTTTTGAGATGCTGGATTGAGTGCATGAAGACTTCAAAGCAGCTATTTTAAATATGTTGACAGAACTAAAGGAAACCATGACTAGGAGTCCATAGGAATGTATGATCACCATGTCACACCAAACAGAGAATATCAATAGGCTGAAAATATAAAAAAGGGCAAAATGGGAATTCTGGAATTGACAAGTATGCTAACCAAAATGGAAGATTCATTAGGAAGCTTGGTTGTATATTTTGACTGACAGAAGAAAGAATAAATGATCCTGAAGACAAACTGCTAGAGATTATGCCATCAAATAACAGGGGAAAAAATGAAGAAAGCCTCAGAGACTTGTAGGGCACCATGAAGCACACAAGCAGATACACAACAGAAGTATTTGAAGAAGAGAAAGAGAGAAAGAAAAAACATCTTAAAATTAACGGCTGAAAACTCTCCATTTTTGATGAAAACCATTAATTCCATATCCAATGAGTTTAATAGACAATTAGGATAAGTACAAATACATCATAGTCAAAATGGTGAAAGCCAAACATGAAGAAAATCCTAAAAGTAGCAAGAGAAAAATGAATCACCATGTACAATGGAATTCCGGTAAGATTAAAATCATGAAGTCCAGAATGCAAAGAGATGATGTAGTTAAAAGAAAAAAGAAAAAGAAAAAAGGTTTGTCAGTCAAGAATCTTATATCTAGCAAAAATAATTTTCAAAAATGAAGGCAGAATTTTTTCCAAACAAAATCTAGTAGATCCACCTTTCAAGATATAATATATATAAGATATATATTCAGGCTTCATGTATGATATAATTCAAACACACACACACACACATATCACTACCAACAGTAGATTAATTATGTAGATAATCATAAAAGGCAGTACAATTATATATCTCTTCTTCATTCTTCCTTGTTATATAGTTGATTTACAGTTCAATTTGCATAATACAATATTCATATAATTGTATTTTTGAACCCAAAACATAGAAATGCAATATATTTGATAATAACAGCACAAAGGAGATAGGAGGGAGATAAATACTTTGAGGTAAATGAAAACAATATATAAAAACATAGGGTGCAGTTGAAGCAGTTTTTAGAAGAGAATATTTTTAGTCATAAAATCTTATATTGGCGAAAAAAATCTCAAATCTATAACTTAAACTTTTACATTAAGAAATTTTTAAAAAAGCAAATTGACCATAAAGTAGGTGAAAAGAAGGAAGTAGTATTAGAAATAAATGAAATAAGCCAGGTGGGGTGGCACATGCCTGTAATCTTAGTGGCTCAGGAGGCTGAGGCAGAAGCCTCCAGAGTTCAAAGCCAGCCTCAGCAATGGTGAGACACTGAGCAACT